AAAATTGGGTGTTCTTTAACCTCCACTGACAGGAATATTTTGGCCGATAAGCCATAAAACAAGAAATAACATTGGTCTAGCATACAAATAATTTGAAAGCCCATGCTAATGACAATGCAATAAACATAGCTGCTTGTATATTGTCCATGACAGGCCAGCCTGATGGTTCCACTGATTGGTTTATTGTCTGTATGGTCACTTATCTAACAGCATAGTGTCAGGATTATCATTTAACTGGTGCTGTATACCAACTGATAGCTACAGTGACAAACACTCGGTATCAAAACTGTATGTTTGTAATTGGTATATTTTTATTTAACAATATAACAGTCTCTTTATTTGTATGATGTTCAAAAAGATGGAGAGAAAATTCATTGAACATATTTATGAGTGCACAAATTCATATAAATATGAGACGTTGCAATCCACAAAATGTTATGTCCCTTCTACCTCTGTTTCCAATCTCATTAAATTCAGATCTTAGTTCTCGCTACCGCTAAACAAAGATCAGAGGACATCCCATAAGGGGTCATGTCTTAACAACCTTTCATTCGAACAATCAAGGTGTAGCTTACCAGATCATGAAAGTGACAGTTGGAAATTGATTTCTAATCATGCAACCTCAAAAACTTTAACACAGAATATTCCGAATGATTTCAGATTTAACGACCGCATCCATACAATCTAGACCATATATTTGCCATTCCGGAACGTTCTTTTGTTCAGGTTTCAAAGTTTTAATTGAGAATTTGTCAAAATATGTTTCGAAGCGTAGTCGCCAATTTGAATTTAGTGCCGTAAAGCACGAGAAAGCTGCCTTCTGATTGGCTAATGCCGACTTCTTGTCAGTCCTTCCATTGGTCGGTCAAAATTCGCACAAGGTCGGTCTGACGTGATCCGTAATGGGATGTCCTCAGATCTTTGTTAAGTGATAGCGAGAACTAAGATCTGACTTTAATGAGATTGCCTCTGTTTCCATTATAGACATTTTTCTAATAATGTTTGGTGCTAGTCTTATGAGGAGCTGACATCATTTGATATTCTAGATTTTCTTGTGCAGAGGGTAGCTTAGATTTAGATCCCATCTGGGATTGGAACCAACACTAGAATCTGTACGTTACTAAGAAAGTGTTGTCCCAAAATACATTAACTTTTTAAATGGCACTGTGCCATAGCTTTTGGACGTGCCAATTTACACTGGTCAGAGGGGTACTCAAGGTATGTGATCTGGACTACCAGTTGTCAGACTTTCATTTTTGTGGAAGCCTTGGTAGCTGAGTGGGTCAGATTGCTGACTTTGAGTGCTGGGGATAAGGTGCCTCACTCTGGCGGTGTGGGTTCGAATCCCAGATGGGACTCAACCAAAAAAAGTACTAGAATCTGTACGTTACTAAGAAAGTGTTATCCTAAATATAACATTTGTAACACACAGATCTTTCACCAGACACATGGAATGGTATAATAAATATTGTGAGGCAGGTAGAAAGAGATGGTTTGGCACAGGTTTTCAAGAGAAAATAAAAATATGTCTTAAAACTGAAAACACATTCTGTTTCAAACAAAAAACACACATAAGAACATTACATGATCATCCCCTTAACCTGTAAGTGAAATTCTTGACATAAAATAATTCTTGTCCCCATGTCATATTCTACAGGAAATAACTGTACAGATCTTTATTGGCCTTAAGAAGTCAGACTTACTTTGGTCATAATCTATATAACATTATCTTGCATATCATTGTTTAACAATCATGTATACATGCAAAGACTGTTACGTATTTGTTAAGGAGAGATTTTTAGATTGGCAGCATAAAATATAATATTACTTAAAACTTAAACCATACCATTTTTTTTACAAATAGCCCAATCCTTATCTCTGCCTCAAATTACCATATGTATAAGTTTATTTCAGGTTTAAGGCCACAAGCCACATGTTGAAGCAATAGTCATAATTGGAAATCAGAAGACTGATGCATGATCGAATGGAAATGAATGTAGTAAAAATAGTCAAAAAAGATAAAAGAAAATGTATTTCATCCTATTGAGGAATATGTTTAGTGAAAGGTCACAATTCATCATTAATATGTTTTCAATGACAAGATGATGATTAATCTATTGTATATCCTCTTTTCATGATATAAGCATAGGCTTAGGCAAGGATATGCTCTAAGCTCTTAATCATCCTATTATTATGCAAATATTTTTTAAAACACCCGTCAAGTGAATTAACCCTCTTAAATTTAAGATCATGATAATTAGGAAAGTATGAATGCAAGTCACTTTCATGACCTTGGGCAAAGGCTAATTTCCTCAGGCTCCTGTTTACCACAAAAAAGATGATAGAGCCACTTATACTGTGGTCTGGGAGATGGATACTTGCCCACACAGACAATTTTCCACCAGATCCGTAAAAAGACACATTTTGAACAAAAATAAAAGTAATAAAACCATGTTTTAAATCATATAGAAATATACTAAAATATTTTTAAAAAGTAATAAATAATTTCCCGCTAGACTTTTCCCCTACTTGGATGAAGGAGAGTTTGTCTTGTCAGCACTTTATAACAGGAACATTTCAATAAGGGCTTATGTTTCTTATAATAAGCTTTGGAAATTATGAACATTAAGTAAGGATTGGGAGAAGAAATTACAAGTGAATGCTTACTATCGTACAAAAGAGCAATCAAAAACACTGTTTAATGAACAACAGTTGTCATTTTTTTACTTACCTTGAGGATCTTACCTGCAAATCCTCACTTACTCTTGTCAAAGGACTTATTTTTTTAAACAAAATATATATCATATGGTCACTTGGGTTTTGTTATTTAAGTACCTTTAACATAAGATGTGGGATGTTGGAAGGATATGCTTATTTATTTCCGAACGCCTGGTGTCATCACTATTTGATAGTAATTCAGAAACACATGTCAGAAATGTGGACTGGACTTTTAGTAGAGATTATGAAAATAGTTTTGTCACGTGTATTTAAATGATAATGATGACAGAACAGGAACCCTTAGCGCTTCTGACATTGACAGGGAAATATATTCATTCTCTGTTTCTTTGAATGGTTAGTTTACAAACATTATCTTAAAAAGTATGTTTATATTTTTCATGTAAATATATTTCTCTTTGTTAATTTGAAATGTAATATATTCATATATATATAAAATCAATGTATGTACATATACATTAGGGAAGGGCCACATAAGTTGGATAACTTTTCCCCAATACCGTTGACACTATGTCAATAAAATGTGTTTAAAACAATTTAAACAATGATTAGTTTATTGAAAATGATAGAAAAATGTAAAATGGTCGCAAAATGATGCAGTTTCGTGTAAGCTATCAGTTACTTACATAAATGTTAAAAGAGGGGTTAATTTGGAATAATTATGAATAGTGTTTGTACGAAGTAGAAATGAATGTTTAAATGCTCTCTTCACAACATATACACCAGTTCCGCCAAACCCCAAAGTGTTAATGACAAAGATAACATTTTCTCAACCAGGCAACACACAAGACTAGGTATATCGAAACAAATTGCAGACACAACAGTTAATTAACCACACTGTTGTCTTATGCATTAATGGCCATGAAAGGAGAATCTCTGATCTCTGACCAGAAACAATACAAAGAAGTCTTCTTCAGACCTCTACCCCCTACCCTTTGTCCAGCCACCCCCTCCCCCACAATCAAGGTGGCCACACAGATAGGATTGGTCTGTTTCAAGGTCTTTCAAGCATATCCATTTCGGATCTCCCTCTCCTGAGACTGCACAAGTAGGTTTAGCATAGTTGGCTGCTTGAAGATTTAGGGATTAATTGACACTTTCTGTTTTATAATGTGATAAGGATCTGGGAGGATGGCACTAATGCCAACACATGTACAAGTTCCTGACACTCATTAGTTTATCTCATGATGAAGGGGATCTAGCAGGCTGGGGGTTAATGAACATTTTATTAGGGTTAATTTTTCGGAGAATGGAGATGTTTAATCTATTTCTTTTGACACCATGGTGGGGTTGGAGCAATTAATTTGATCTGACATTTATAGCTCAAAATATTGAATGAAACTTAAATGAAAATATGGAATTGTCACAAAAAACGAAAATAAACACAAAATGTATTTCTTTCATGTAAAGACATTTCTGGAAGATATACATGTATATACACATTACAGATATGTACTACAAATAAGTTATTCATGTTTTTTTTTCCATTTTAACAAATTCTTTTCAGTACTATATATTGAAATGACATTCCATGTTTGGTACCATAAGATCAAATCTACACATATATATTAACCTTTTAATTTCAATTAAAATTATCCTAATATGTCTTCAATTTTTTAACCTCCATATAAACAATTCTTTCAGGTACCATATTTTCATATACAATTTCATATTAATCATCATAATTTAAATCAACATGTTATTATGTCACACCTAATTAAATATTGCAAGAATAAAAATTTTGTAAATAAAAGTGTAATCTCTGATAAAAGCAGATTCCCTCAAATGATTCCCACAATAAAAAGACTTTTAATATATCGTATGAAAATAATACGAAATTAATTTTAAAAAAAGGCTCCCTCATCAATGCCTAATGAACACAAAACAAGTAAGTGTGAACCGAGCTATTGTCCAGGCTGAGACAAAAACAAAAGATGTTCACAAACAATAACAGTATGTAGACAAACAACAATTCTTATGTCAATAACCATATCTCTTACCTACTAAAAACCCTCATGAAAATCCCTATTCAATTGTTTTTGAAAGAATGGGGATTAATAAACGCTTGAATGACCAGGAGGATTCCAGTTGTGTTGACATTAGCTCACATTGTGTGCAGCCATTAGAGATGGTTATGTAACATTATTGACTGTGCAAACAGTCACATGACCTTAGTCTAAAAATAGGAAGGTGAGAAGGTCAGGTCAGAGATGCTGCCTGTTAATTGGTCGGTTTGGTGTGAGTAGGGTTGGTGTAAGATTTGGTTGGTCAGTGTAACTGGACATTAGCTGTTAATGGTCAGCTGGTCTTGAGAGCCCAACAGTAACAGGCACATGGTGTAAGACAAGGCATTCTAGCCTGTTCCTAAAGCCTGACTTATTCACTCATTGGAATAACTCCTCACACCTGCTACACAAAAAGGTATTTACAACATTCTACATTAAATGTGCTTATATAGTTATAATGAAATATATATATATATGTTTGATGTGATGTAATATTAGATAATGTAAGTTGGAACTAAACTGAATTTTGTTGCATTTTTTTATGATTGCTTAATACATCCATTGACTAGCATTATACTGTAACCCAGTATATTATCAGATCCTTAAGTCAAATATATTTTTTAGAATTATAAATTATGTCAAATTTTTATTCTTGCAACTAGGTAATTTCGAAATTTCTTTCTTTAATAATAAACAATTTAGAAGATGAAGAAGACAATAAGGGTTAATATATTACTCAAAAAGAAATTACAGAACACCTGATTTCTCTTATAACAAGACTTAAATTTAACTCTTGTTATAAGAAAAATCAGGTGTTCTTTCCTTAGTAAATGTATTAGAAGACAAATGGGGTTACACAATTGATAATATACTTCTCAAAGAAGAAATTACAGAACATTGTTTCAACATTTTTATTTGACTGGAAATTCGGATTGGTAAACAAGACAACTCTAATTTTATACCTTTCCCTACATAAACATTGAGTAGCAATAGTGAAGGTGTAGATGATTGCACAACATATACCTTAGTGGCAGTTATCAAGTACAAAAGTAATGATTATACATGATATGAGTTCCTACATATTGTGCACAAGATACATATGTATTATATGCTAGTGTTTAGATTAATTTAAGTTTAAATCTACCAGAATTTGTGATGAATGTCCGGACAGCCAAGAGAATGTTTTGACATAATTGAGATGATAAATATTAGCTTACAGAAGTTATTACAGAACATTTTATCAGTTTTACAATTTAGAGGAGTTTTTATACGACTATAGTCAATCTGTCATGTGATGACAGCGTAACCGAAATCCGATGGAATAATCCGATGTTCTGGAACTTCTTTTGAGTAGTATATAGGAAAAATAACTCATTGCAGAGAATGAGTCCAGATTGACCATGAAGAATGCTACAACAAATATACACATACTGTTTTTAATTCCTAAACATAATGTAATGTAACTGTAATGTTTTTAATAACATGTTTGCAAAATCTTGATTGTAGTTAAAGAAATAAGCTATTCAGATATTTTTGGGATATTTGTATGTTAATATTTATTACACAGAGGTCACAAAGAGTCATTTAGACACGTGAAAAGCGTTTCTTGCATACTGTTTATCATGACATGACCAAATGTCCTGAAGCATAATATGGTTATTTGACATGAATACAATACACTTTTGTTTGGATAGCAACTGCTTTATTCCTTGTACAATGGCTCAGAGCTACATCTTGCTCCTTCATCAGGTGATGAAGAATAAAAGGATTAAAGAAGTTGCTATCCACAAAAAGTGTCATGTATTCATGTTCTCCCAACTTCTAAATGCTGATCAAAGACTTTGCTATTGGACAGTTAGTTAAAGATAGACAGAAAATATAGATCTGTATAATCTTTTAATATATACATGTATACAAAATTCTCATCCAACAAAATTCCTGAAATTCATATCTCACTTCACCTTAAAAGGCAATTATGAAACAGTACAAATACCAAGTGACAACATTACCCAACAGTTACAAACAAAATATGTAATATTATGCAAGAATATTTCCCAATACAAGGCCAATGACCCAAACTGCCTGCCCAGTGCCCAATTTCATCCCAGGCATTGCAGTTTCCCACACTAAGCCCTGGACAGTGGTCATCCAGCCATGACTGGCTAGTCCCCAGTCAATCACCCCCTCATTGAGTGATGTAACGTTACATAACATCACCAGCCATTATGCAACACTGTAGATGGGAAAACATACAGGGGGCCCTGTTAGGGTTGGGTAGTTCAGTTGAAAAGATCCATTACACATCACTGGTTACCCTTCAAACACAACTGTAAGGTCATTGCTAGGATGACATCAAGGCTAAAATTGAGGCATGCTATGATGGCAGATGGAAGTCTTTCTTGGACATCACATCACTGACTAAGCAATAAGTTTTGTAAATATGATTTAAAACTAAGACTTTTACCCATTTCTAAAAAGCACAAAGCTTATTTAAAATAATGTTATTTCCAAATAATAAAGTTTGACATGTAAGTCAGTTTACATACATTTTACATACTTAATAATGACAGTTTATTTCTTTAAGACCGGAAACATTAAAGGGATAACAAGACATAAGAAAAAAAGAATTTACTTGTATCAAAAGTTCTGAAATCTTTTTTAGAGTTCATTCAGTTGAATGTACACAAGGCATATCAAATTATATTTTAAAAAGGTTACCCTTTATTTAAATTTCTATTTAAACAAACTAGAAATCATACTTGACCAAAAACCCTTACCGACCCCCTCGATTTTTCCATCAGCCTGGGCAATCCCCCCTAACAGTTGCTGTTAATTACCCCTTTTTACAGGGGATTATACTGAGTTACACAATAGAGCTATACAACTGTAGACCCAGTGGCATTAATCAATACCCTTCATGTCAGCTAGATACATGCCCACTGGCTAGAGGAGAATGAATGGCCCCTGACCAGAATGGTGGTAAATACAGGATGAGGGCATGCAACACCTATGTCGAGAATGTCACAGTCTAAAGAAAGGAGACATGGGGGGGGGGGGGGGGGCTATAGAAGGGGGAGGTGTTAAGGGGTTAAACATTAGCTGAAAGTATTTGAATTGCTTAGTGTCGCTGCACAGTATTTGAATTGCGTTTTAAGTTTCCATCACACGTTTAATATGTCTAAATGATTTATTTCGCTAACTGAAATGACATTAAACATCATATTATCAACAACTGTAAAAAATTTGAAACATGAAAATAAACGTGATTATTATGACAACATTTGATTATGTAGGCTTACTAGAGGAACTATACAGTACAATCAAGTTCAACCAAAACATTGAACCAAAAAACAGTTCGGGATCATGAATATTTTTTTTGATTCATCAATCCATACTACAAGAAATATTCTTCAAAATATTCATGATCAATAACTTGTATAATACGATAATTAACCTGAAGTTCTATAATTTGACACCTTACCAAAAGTTTGAGTGAAGTTTTTTATTGGAATGAGCACATTGTTAATTTCACTGAAGCAGGCAAAAAAAGAATGCTTGTAGAAACAGATTGCATTGCACTTCAAATATCATAATATTCTTATTATGCATCTCACTGTCCAAAACATTTTAAACCATACAAATGTCATGAAATCTACACATTATTCGTGACATTCCATCAGGTCAAGATTACACCTAGTGACTGAGGGGTAGATGGCATGTTTATTACGTGAATGGCACTTGTAATTACCAGTAACACCTGTGTAAATTACATGTTGATTTCAAACACCCTCAAGAAATATACATGTCAACTTGTCAGTCTCCCGTCAACAGCCCAGGAAAGGTCTAGGTGTGACTGCAACGGCCTGCAGCATTAACCCATGGCATAAATTTGGAGTATTTACAATGAAGGTTCAGTGTGGTTGACTCTTCCATTTCGTGTGTTCTAGTCCTCTAGTGTTTTGACAGCTACCAATATGAATACTACTAAATGTTGGACATTTTTGTAATATTTTGACTAGGGGTTTGTATACTGGAAATACTTTCCAACGTTCTGACTCAGAGATTATCAATATCTAAAGAGATATGGTGATTATTTAATACCATTGGGATTCATTAACACATCGTACAATGGCCTCTGGTGCCATCACTATTTGATTGTGGTTCATAAACACATTCTTATGAAATAGTCGGAATTGTACAATGGACCTCTTTGATAGGCATTTAGAAGTTGGAGTACTAAGTAAGGATAAGAATTTATGGATGAACAACTTCTTTAATACAATTAAGAGTGACGTTTCGGGTGAAGGTTCTAACTTGCTTAATAACAAGTGTTAGAACCTACAACCTAGAACCGAAGTGTCGCTCTTAATTGTAATAAAGAAGTTGTTCATCCATAAGTTCTTATCCTAACTTGTACACTGGACTTTGATTATGGAATGATTTTTTTTGCTTTTATTTAGAGGAGATTTATCTAATTGTGGAAAGTGTCGCTTTAATATGTTATATTTAAAAAAATATACTGTATGCGAATTGTATTTATTAAACCAGGAATCAGTATGCCAAAGAATCATTTTCAACAATCCGAAAATATCATTCATGAATTCTAGCAAACCAGCTGGTATGCTTCACATTCAAAGTAATCATCAATATCATAGACATCCTGTAGACATTTAATGAAATTGACACGAATGTTGCATGACAGACATAGATTAGCACAGGTCATGTAGCTGTGTTTACCCGAGGGACTCACATGACGTAACAGGTTATTATACTGTGGGCAGACCCATAGCTTATTGGCTGCTTGAATAGGACCAAATTGGTGACTTAGCGGGAACCATGCTGGCTTGTAATGATATATTCATGACAGAGATGATTAAAGCATTCCCGGAACATGGCTGATATCTCACTGATGAATAATGTAGTGGTAGTGAAACAAAGAGGCATGGTTGGTTCACAAATGTGGTTTTGCAGCCAAAGGCGGTAGTAGCAGCAAAAACTGACCTGAACAACATTTTGTAAATCAAGGTTTTATGCAATAATACCCCCTATTCAATCTGCCGCAATGAGTCCATGTGTTTAGAGAAGGCCAATTGTCAGAACAACAGTCACATCTACTTCATTTGCTACAGGTCATGGTGAAGGAATAATATCTCCTTGTGATGTTTAATGTCAGAATACAGGTCACAGCCTTGTTATGTACAGGCCATGGTGATACAGCATGTATTTGGAAGATAGTTAACATAAATGGAAAATATTTCAACCCTCAACAGATGAGGTACCCATTCATGTGACTGTAGTCACAATTTGGTGGAGCATTTCATTATTGACTTGTGCATTGATGAGGTCAGGCATCCTATCAGTTCCCTGTCTTTACAGCTATAAATGTGAATTGGCATAAAGGTCCTTTCCGGTTTATCTCACTATTGGAAGCTGAAAGCCTTTTCAGTCAAGCAATTTTGAATTTCTAAAAGCTATCATAAATAATGAGTAATAATACATCCAAATTGTCTGTGACATGAGGTAACAATGTCCTCTTCTACTTTTCAGGATCACCAGTTCGTCCAGTTGTGTGGAAAATTCTATTTCTTGTGTTAGTGCTACAGAGCATGGACGATGCATAGTTCATACGACCTCACGATGCAAACCCGGGACGCCGGGGAACGTCCCTTTAAATCCTTCCCTCACCACCCATCTGCCCAGATTCCCACGACCTTCTATGGCGGTCATATGAGCAACCCCTTCTCAAACTCAGGCTACATGTCCCAGACTCCTTCTAGTTGTGGTATGCAGCTTCCAATCAGTTCAGCACACGATCTAAGTAACGGCCAGAACCTGTCATCATGCAGTGGGGGTCAAGGTCTTCAGATGTCACACGGATCCTCAGACCCTACCCAAGGACTACATGGTATGGGTTTGCCATTGATGGCAAAGTCTGAAAAGATGGAGCAAGATCCGTTTGGAAATGGAAGCAATGTTTCTCCAAATGCATCTTCAAGTTCAATAACCTCCGGCTCAAGTCCGTCACATTCAAATCTTGATGACCTCAAAGATGATGATGGCTCCTTCAAAATGCCCCCAAAGAAACGGCCCCTGAATGTACCAGATACACAGAAAGATGCTCTTTACTGGGAGAAACGGAAGAAGAACAATGACTCGGCAAAACGATCTCGTGAAGCTCGGCGTATGAAAGAAGAACAGATTGCATTGAGAGTTGTCTACCTTGAACAAGAAAATCTACAACTTCGTACTGAGGTTTCACTGCTAAAGAGTGAAATTGAGAAGCTACGATGTATGTTGTATAATGGATGACATTAGAATTGAGCCAAGAGTGACATATTTGAAAAGTGGCAACGTGCATAGGACAGCATTGACAGCATAAACAGCCACATAAATACAAACCATCTGTGGATGGAAAACGAGATTGACTCAAGAAATCAAGTGTTGCTGAAATTGACATCAGTATTGAGCACAGATCTTCAAGATTTGTGAATTGTTGAGACTATCAATGCAAAACCCAAAACTCAGGAATAATTCCAAGATTTGTTAAATGTCCATCATTCTCTATTTTCTGTACTACACGAATGTTTTCTGAAATATATAACCTACTACCTCAGTCATTCCTATATGAATGTTTGCAATGTGTGTATGGAAGCTGAAATGTACGTGTTTTGAAATGGACAACTGCTCATGTGTGCTTGTGGTTTAAATGATGTATAAATTTTCATCTAATCTAGACTTATTTTATGAATCTTGTGCATTTTGTTTTAACTGCATGGAAATGAAGATTGGTTTGCATATTTATCAACCTTAGCAAAATATGAAATACTAATTTCATAACAACAATTTGTTTGATAGGACACAGAGTTTATTTATCATTTAAAAGATGACATTTGTGAACAGTAAGTCTGCTGAAAGTGCTAATATATGTTTGGAACATGTTATTAATTTTATTACAATCTTGAAAAATGAATGCATTTATGTAATATCAAATCATGAAGAATAAATAACTAACTGGATAGGATTAATTAAAACTCAGTAATGAATCATGAAATTAAAACTAAATACCAAATAAGCATCACAATTAATGTTTTACCAATACTGCCAACAATTACCATTTGTACTAGAAGAATTATTACTTGTTTAAGCAATACTACTTAAGTTTCTTATTGAAGGTGAAAAAGTTCATCTTATTACGCTATGGTGTTAGAACATTAGAATACAATTCTAGTGAGTTTTAGATGGGACTTTATTGTGATGCAAATGTAGGAAGAATTGTTATAGACATCTACATTTGTCTGTGTTTCTGTTCAGGTTTTGACATGAATTTGCATGTTTGCTTGAAATAAAACTTTTATGCATAGATTTCTCCTTTTGTTTTGAATTGTCACTCTGTTATTTTTATGTAGCTTCTGATAAATTTTAATTGCTACTGGAATTGAATACCATCTTACTTGAGATGACTACTGAACATATGAATATGATCTTATAACTTCTCAATAAAAAATCAGTTCTGTAACTGAATAGAGTGGCCTACGTGGTCTAATGGAGAGAGCTCTGCCTTGAGAGCTGACGGTGAGGTGGTGCAGTCCCTGGTTGTGGCAGACCAAAATGTTAAAAGAAAATACTTCTTACACTGTCCGATGCTTGTCACTGAGGTGAAAAAACAAGGACTATTCGACCCAGAATCAATATATCGTGTCTGAGTGGGGTTTCCATTTTTAACTGTGGCATGGTATCTCAGTGGGCTAGCACTATGATACCTGACATTAGTCCTGACATTAGTCCCGACATTAGTCCATACACCAGCATTAGTGACGACATTAGTCCTGACATTAGTCCTGACATTAGTCACGATACCAGCATTAATCCTGACATTAGTCCCGATACCAGCATTAGTCCCGACATTAGTCCCGACATTAGTCCCTATACCAGCATTAGTTCAAGCAGCAACACATACACACATCAATGCAAGTTGCTGTATAAATGCAATAATCCTGAATGAGATGTTAAACCCAATTTCACTACATCTCACTTAAAGGAATGAAAGAGTGAGTGAGTGTTTTTCTGCTTTTAGCTATATTAAAACAAATCATGACAGGGTACAGCAGAAATGGGATTACACATTGGACCCATGTGGGGAATCAAGGAATGAAAGACGAAACAAGCTACAATGATACAGGACATGAGGGCCAGAAACCAAATGTGTTACGATAAACACATGCTTATGATATACAGGAAATTGTACAATTGACTCTATTATTTGAAGCAATGTCTTAAGGTTGGTTGGTTGGTTTGTTGTTTAACGCCACACCTAGCAATATTCCACTAATATGACGGCAGTCTGTAAATAACCGAGTCTGGACCAGACAATCCAGTGATTGACATTATGAGCATAAATCCACACAATTGGGACTGATGACATGCATCAACCAAGTCAGCGAGTCTGACAACCCGATCCTGTTAGTCACCTTTTACGACAAGCATAGTCACCTTTTACGGCAAGCATGGGTTGCTGAAGACCTATTCTACCCTTGATCTTCACAGGTCTTAAGGTTGTATAAAAGGTTTTGTGACCTTTGTTTACACAAGTTCAAAGACATAGTATTCATAAAGAAAGATGCATCTCAGAAAGAACTTCAACAAAATTTCAAGCCATCAGAAGAACATATATAAGGATAAGACGTTATGGATGAACAACTTCTTTATTACAGAAGACTGACGTTTCAGTGTAGGTTCTCACACTGTTATCAAGCAAGTGATATACAGAGTATGGTTGACAAGTATCTATTTACTCTACTGTATAAACATTGCCTCCTACCTGTATATATACTTGTCAACCATACTTTGAATATCACTTGCTTGATAACGGTGTTAGAACCTACACCGAAACATCGCTCTTAATTGTAATAAAGAAGTTGTTCATCCATAAATTCCTATCCTTACTTAGTACTCCAACTTCTAAATTCCTATCAACATCTGTTCAGCATCTTGCTTCAGATCACTGATCAACTCCATGGACATGAACAGTTTACAACATCTCGTTTTCAAAACGTTTAACTTTGCAAACTACCAAGACACCCATTACAATGACACCGAAAGGTAAGACATGCGATTATATGTCCATCAGTAACGACACCTTTGAGCTTTCCTGAAAGGTACATTTGTAACACTTTGAGGGGATAATATCAGCCCCCAACAGGGACTAATTAGTCTGCAGTCACCTTCCATTGTATACAGGAAAGCCAACAATGGTCTGATGCACACGGTAAGAAATGACAGCTATTACAGAGGAATGGCCTGAAGGTTTGCCTAGGGACATAGGCTTCAGTGTAAACTGGTTTGGTAGGTGTAGACCCCTCAGGGGAAACCTAGGTATTGGCAAATATTGGTGGTCAGGCCACCATGAAATGGAATTTCGGATAAGCATGAAAATATCCTTTGCAATCTCTTTGAAGGCCTTCAATCAGATTGGAACTGTTTGTGGTTGAGTTTATTTGATTGGGTCACCATTATGTGAAGGATTAAATTGCACTGTGGGTGAGGATGTGATGGATTGATCAACTTTTGAGGCTGAAAATGAAATGTTATTTCAGGCACTGTATCAGATGGTGCTGATTTCATTGTTCTATATTCTTGTACTACATTTAAGGCTGGTAAGTGGCTATTAAAAGAGTCTCAAGGTTGGAAATTGTGAAAAAATTCCTAAAACAGAAGAAAAAGGGTTAAATGTTGTCCTGCATCAGATGACAATACAATGGGGAAATTATACAGGCGGTTTGGATTTTTATTTTACTGCATCCATGCATCATATTGTTTTAATAGGCATTTTCAATATTTTGAAAGTCTTAACCAGCATGTGTAAGGCTGTTCTTCTTTGAAAGCAAATGGAAGGTGATTTCTGACGCCCTATTCAATATCAATATGTAGTCCTCGAAATAAAGTTATGTACCTAATTCTATGCAGGGACCCTCAAGTGTTCAATTTCATGAGAACTGAGAAGGGGATGAGTAAAGGTTGCTAGAACCAAGAAGGGGATGGGTATATGTTGCTAGAGCTGAGAAGGGGATGAGTAAAGGTTGCTAGAACTGAGAAGGGGATGAGCAAAGGTTGCTAGAACCAAGAAGGGGATGGGTATATGTTGCTAGAGCTGAGAAGGGGATGAGCATAGATTGCTAGAGCTGAGAAGGGGATGAGCATAGATTGCTAGAACTGAGAAGGGGATGAGCATAGATTGCTAGAACTGAGAAGGGGATGAGTAAAGGTTGCTAGAGCTGATAAGGGAATGAGTAAAGGTTGCTAGAACTGAGAAGTAGAGGAATAAAGGTTGCTAGAACTGAGAAGTAGAGGAATAAAGGCTGCAAGAGCTGAGAAGGGGATGAGTATTAAAGTTGCTAGAGCTGAGAAGGGGATGAGTATTAAAGTTGCTAGAGCTGAGAAGGGGATGAGTATTAATGTTGCTAAAGCTGAGAGGGGGATGAGAATTGAAGGGGTTCGATTGTTGTGTTAAATATTTTCTCTAGGGTCTTTGTCAGGTAATGACCAGGCATTCCATGGCGAGAAACACATAAGAATCTTATTTTCATATTAGTCAATTTGACAACCTTTGAAAACTGAACAAAACATTTCATAATGAAGACTGCAACACCATGGTAATTTGAAATATTTGCATGGAATACAACAGGGGATTATGAGTGTTAAATCCTCAGTATTAGGCAGCTATCTACTCAAAGGCCAACAGAATGAGGACTTCTTTGAGTGACGAAAAGTCTGAGGCCAGTCTATTCACAGTGGGATTAAAGTCAACAGGTCAATTATGCCAGTGAAGTCTATCAGAGATAGCATCTGCAGACAGCTGTGAGGACAGGGATGTAGATAGTAGCCTGGCTATTTCAGCATATTAGGGGATGATGGGTGCTATCCTGGTAACAGGGATATGAGTATTTGGGCACAGACCTTACAGAGTCTTAAGGATCAACCATTAATAATCTTGATGGAGGGGCTGGGAGTTTTATGTGAGACATAACATTTTCATCACTGCTTCAAGAGGCACTTTTTGTCCTCCAAAAAGGACAAAAAGTAGTAGCTGCACAATTTGCTTGGTACTAAAAAACACTAAAAAATGTCTTAAGACAACCAGCCTTTCAAGCGATATGTGCAAGAAATTAAGATTTATAAATGATTTTTTTTCACCAAGAAAAATCAAAGCTGTCTCCACTGGGAGTGAGTGATACAAGGACAGGGACATACTTGGGTCTCTTTTAAGTAAGAAATATGTATATCATAATGGACACTCTTTTCCATGCAGAACTTGTTGCTTTCGGGAATATGGTTTTGGAAATTACTTCTGCCCCAAACCAGTGGTCTTATGTTTTTCTGAAAATCCATCGAGGTCAGAAACATGTATGAAATGTCTTTTGATAAAACAATTATCACAGACACAAACTACAAGATCCATATCTTTTGTCACATTTTATTTTGTAAATAACAAAGATGATGTTTTTTTATCAAATCTTTTTATTGCAAAAACATATTCAACTCAAACCTGATGTTAAAAATGTCCTTAGATTAAAAGGCCAAACATTAGACAAAAAGTATCTAGATTCAATTATTGTGGTATATGTAATTTATCTAACTGGATTATGTTTGTCGTAAAAAAAAGTTTTTTATTGCAAAAACACATTCAACAACACAATCAAACCTAAATACCGGTTCTTCCAACATCTATTGTCCTTTTTTTTCAAAAGAAGAAATAATTAATGCAGCATATTCATAGGACAACACTATATATAGTTGATAGATATGTGATACAGACGGAACAATTAGAAACATATTCATTGATGTAAGACACTCATTTCCTTCCAAGTGACATGATACTAATCTCAGCATAGTCTCGAACATTTAACATGAACAGTAGGGGAAGAAAGCTATCTCCCTGCCCCCTGCCAGTATGCAAACATACTTCAGTAAGAGGTATACACCAAGCTTGGGAGGGTAGGAATGCCCCAGGGTAATGTTACATAACCGTCCATTTCCTCATCAATGTCCAGCCATTTGGTCAGTGGGTAATCCCACAGGGGAATGGCTGACCAGTGTCCATACAGGCCTGTGTAATCACTGTGTGTTTCCTGCCCATAGATCTTGGTAGGAAGGAAGGGCCATGGAACAACAGTGTCTGGTATCAGCAATAGAATAAAGACAGCATGACATGGTTAGTGTGACCATAGCTGACTTGGTTAATCTCATCCCTGGTGTGAGGAACACTCCAACTTGTAAATAAGTTGCAAAAAAATACTAACCATTCTTTTTACTTTATCTTTATTGAGTGAGCAAGTGAGGCAGTTAGGTTTAACGCAACTTTGA